AGAGAGAGAGAGAGAGAGAGAGAGAGAGAGAGAGAGAGAGAGAGGCATAAAATAATTCATTTGCATTTAATTGTAATGGTTCAAAGAATGTTCGGAAAAATGTTCGGCCCTCCAGCACGTTCACTTCATCCAATCTGGCCCTCTTTGAAAAAAGTTTGGACACCCCTGTGTTAAAGTATAAATTGTCTTTTCCAAATCCAGTATTTCTTGTAATTTTTTCCCCATTTGGGTTAAATCATACTTCTTTGTTTTGTTAGGTTCCATCTTTAAGACTCTATCCTCAAATTTATATTCAGTTGTCTGTTTTATCTGTTCCTTCTCTGTTGTTGTTTTTGGGGATTTTTTGTTGTTGTAAAGTTAAATTGGAAATGAATTGGTTTATATTTTCAAAGTTATTTTCGATTTCTTTGTGGTTTGAAATAATTGTTATTTGAATTAGTTGCAACATATCATATGTCTCCTCTTGAAAAGTATTTATTTTTTCTTGATAGGTTCTTTCTATAAATCTCTGATTTTCCATGATGACCAAGAATCCAAATTTTCTTTTCTCTGCAAATGGCTTTGGGGTCAGAGTTAAATAGATACTTGTAATCCAGAAAGTTCAAAAAAGTGTTGTTGTTTTTTGTTCCCTGAAGATTGTAAGTCTCACTTTGTCTGCAGCCCAGGTTGTTTTCTTTTTTGTGACAGCTGTTCTCTATTGTTAGAGCTTTGAAGTTCACAAGTAGAGATTAGTTTTTTTCCAGATTTTGCCAAATCCTGCATAAAAGCCATAGCTGTCGTAGTTTTCATCCACCACTAGATGTCAGCACTGGTTTATTTTTCAAATTTTCAAAATGAACAAATTGCCTTTAAAATGAGAATCTTAACCATACAGTAATTTCAAACTTATCCAAATTTAGGTTTTACAGTCATTTCATTTCATTTCAATACGTTTTGGTCCTCCATAAAAGGTTTAATTCGCCGCTTCTGTTAGTAAAAGGGTGGGGCAAAAATCCCCCTCCTTCACTTTCGGAAGTTTTTTTTGCTTCTTGCGATTTTTTTTATTTTTCAGGAAAGTTGATAAGTAGGATAGAGAAAATCGATGTTCTTACCCAGATTCAAACGTGCTGTTTACAATCAGCTTAAAATAGTGCTTTTGACTTCGGTTGCTTGCAGCTTGGGCTAGACTCTGAAGTTAGGCTAGCCTTTCTCCTGTTGGTTTCTGGAAGGCTTCTCCTGGACCATCGGGTCGACCGCCATCTCTCTGAGGTCCCCGGGACTTCCTTCTTTGCCGCCTCTTCAGGGTGGCTTCTGGCCCATTTAGGGTTCCCTAACAAGAAGAAACTCAGCCAAAGGGCACGGAGTCCCAAACCCCTTGACTGCTGCACTGCTGCGCAGGACCTGAAGTCCGACACAAAGACTGTTTTTTCCCATGTACCATCATTCTGCTGAAGACCTAATTTACACAGTACTGTCTCATGTCTAGGTATAATTACCCATTTTGTATGACTGTGGTATTGTTATTATCCTTCTCATCTTCTCTACTATCTCCTCTTAATGGTATCATTATTATGATTGTTATTACTCTGTTGCTTGCATGTGCACTGAAAGTTTCTGCACTGGAGACAAATTCCTTGTGTCTAATCACACTTGGTCAAATAAGATATTCTAATATGACATATAAACAAGAGGTAACTATAATAAAATTTGCACTGATTGCTCCAGAATCAATAATGAAAGGCTTTCTGGAAAGGGACAAGTCTTTAAAGCCATATGACCCTTCATGAGGTAACCTGTTCCATAGGAAGGGAACCCATTATTTGGGCTCTTTTCCAACACACCTTCAGTTTAAGTAGGGATTCCAAGTATCATTCCCTGATTGTCTGGGTTGAGTAGGCACTTTTGATCACAAAAAGATGATTTATTAGATAAGAACTCCTAGTCATTAAGGATCTTAAAAATAATGATAGCATTTCTCATTATGCACTGGAATACATAGATGAGGAGAGGTATTCACTTATAGACTCTACTTAATAATGTAGATTTAGTAGATTTTGACTATACTGATATTATCAGTGTGATAGAACTCATTTTAAAGTAGATCCCAAAACCATAAGTAGAGAAAATATGGCTTTCAAGTAGCAAGACTAAAGTAATTGCATTTCTACTTCTTTTCAAGTAGTGCTTTTTCTACTTTACTCTTTCTTGGCCCAATCCTATAGCCAGCCCATCACCCTCAAAGTAGCAAATCTCAATAACTATAGGCATCACAATTCCTTTCAGCAAATGAAAATGAGATGCTTAAGTTAGGTAACTCAAGAGTAAATTAACATCACATAGAAAAACATACCTCATCTCTGTATATCTGATGAGCTATAATTGTTATAATTGTTTAGTATTATAATTGTTATATAATTGTTTAGTATTATAATTGTTATATAATTGTTTAGTATTATAATTGTTATATAATTGTTTAGTATTATAATTGTTATATAATTGTTTAGTAATATATACAACACTTATAAACATGGGCTTCCTAATTCATATTTTCAAGTTCCTTTTCTCCAAAATATTGAAAGTGGGAAAGGGAAACTTTTTGCCTACTTGCTTGCTAGCTAATTATGCTACTACTCCTTCACTCAAGGACTGCTATTATGGTATGATGGTGGTAACAATTTAAAACTATACATCTTAACATTTGATCCTATGCATGCTTATTTGGAAATAAAAAAATAAATTACAATCTTCATAAATTCTTCAATAAAGGGTCTCCTGCATATGACAAGGTGAGATATGTGGCTACTATACAAAAAGAAAAAAAAGGGGGAAAAAGAATTGTTTTCTTAATAATGACACTAAAACTGAAAGACACTCCCCCAGGCAAGGGTCTAGTATACTATAATACATAAGACTGACTTAAGTTGGCCCAGCACACAAGGTTAAGTCCCTACTCATCCTTACAGCTCATTGGGTGACTTTGCATCACTCTCTCTCACAAACCTACTGCACCGAGTTTTATTCTGAAAATAAAATTAGGGGAGACCTCATGCATGGCCCCTAATCTCTGACTCTGACTCCCCTCTCTCTAAAACCTGCTATATCTTCTTTTCAGTACTAAGTAAAGACCATTTTATTTTCTTAAGGTTTCAGACACATTGTAATTCTGATTATTGGTTTATGTTGTGTTTATGATGTTGAGGCTGTTTTGATACTTATATTTTATTATCCAAATTATTCTGGGAATATATAAATAGGATAAATAAATGGAAAAGCAGTATGAGTAAATTTATAAAAATCAATATAGTTCTAATGTTTTAACATTTACTAGGGTTTTTTCCCCCTATGAAATGTTAAGTCTTTCCTAGTTCCTCAGATAGGACAGATGTTAAGTGAGTGGAAAACAAATGAAGCGGGGGAGAAAGGAATGTCTCTTCTGAAGTCTGCTTGCGGGAACAAAGACTTTTATTTCCATCCCTGCTGTTACTGATAACTGATTTTCAGAATATTTTGGGAAATTTTCCAGTTTGCTTTCAACAGAGCTTAAAGGGAAAAACCCCAGAATATAACTGATAACTGATAATAATAACCAATGAGAACAATTACCTGACTGTCTCAGCATCACATAAACTTTGTACAGTTCCTGACTGCACGCAGATAACGTGTTCATTATTCTACAATACCTATATATGGACATTATATATCAGTTGACAAAATGCATTATGTTTACATTAATTACCAATTATAATTCATAGGTAGACCTGTCATGTTTATAGTGGAGGGCCAGAATGATGATTATAAAAGACCAATGCTTAACTTTCCCTCCCCAACTCCAATTGACCCATGAAAAACTCAAGCTCTGCAACTGCATTCAACCATTTAGATTCATTGGTTCCTTCCCACAACAAAGCCTGAATACATAATTCTTTCTTCACCGACAAAACCCTAAGAGCCCAGAACAAAAGCCTTCTTGATTCTGAACTTCCCATCCATGGAAGATAAAAAGCCAATATTGAGTACTGAGCCAGGAATGGATTTCGTTTCATGTATTATAAATAGAAAAAAAAATTAATAGGGTATCTTTCCTCTTGAAGATAATTTGTATAGGAAATTCCAAAAGACTCTTCAAAGCTACCAGCAGCTAGGCAGGATGGATTTATTTAAATCATCAGGGGGGTTAAAAGGTATGTTGCAATCACTGATTTAAACCAGTTTTCTCATTTGCAACTAATCTATTTTCTGAGCAAATAGGAAATAATTTCTCAAAGACTTACTTTAGCAATTAACATATATAATGGTTTGCAATACATAGGATGTAAATTCATCTAAATCATGCAGTCCTGCATATATGTACATAGCAACATTCTATTTGCCTGGATAGAAGAAATCAAATTTGGTATATTATGTACCTGTTTAGGTTTCTTTACATACTAAACAGTATGTACCTGTTTAGGTTTCTCAACCAAAAGATTTTTTTTTTTTTGAGGCTAATGGTGCAAACATATGAATGCTGAGTTAGAAGTAAGCCTCACTTTTCAAGTTTGTCCAAATAATACCTTTATATTATTCCTGGTTCTGTTCCAAGGCTGGCCCTACTATTAGACAGAAGAGCCGGCAACATAATAAACAATTATTTATGACTGCTTATTCTCATTATAAGGCTAGAGGTGGAATAGAGTTTCTGGGATTTTCTGCCTAAGGTATATATATATATATAAATGAGTAGGCTACTGTATCGTCTATGTTAGGCAATGAAAGGTTTTCTGTGATCTGCTGTTCTGACTCCTCCATATTTTGGTCTGAATATATCGGCCAAAGGCAAGTTCAGTTCTTGGCTAAAAAATTTCTCTTCTATAAGGTGGAAGATAAAACCCTAAGCTATTACTGGTCACAAGTTACAATTCCTGCTGTAAAATTTACCCTAATTTCTTTGACATGTGGATTGTTGCTTATTTTACTTATTAAATGCATACATAATCTATGCTCTCTGTAAAGTGAGATCTACAGCTAAATTGCTGTACCACGCTCAGGAACCAACATCTTATTATTCTCCATTGCTGTGATTCTGTCACCATAAATGAACAATTAAGGGCATTTTTTTAATTAGTGAGGAGTATTTGTCCCTTGGTGAGGAATAGGAAGACATTTAACAAACCTTACCTGTATCGTTCTTCCTGCAAGCATTGAGTCATGTATGTATAGTCTCGTTGCAGCTGAGCCTTGAGTTCTTCCATGGAGTCCTCGAGATGGGATTGAATGTCCTTAATATCTCTCAGTTCTTCTACAATGGTGTCAAAGTTAAAATGATGACTCTCCAAGGTGTTAGACTTAGGACTGCCCAAACCCCCAGGACCAGCCCCAGAATTGCTACCAGCTGCTGAGCCAGATGTGGCACTGGAGCACTCATCATCACTTCCATATTTGGGACTGGACACGAGGGTTGCACTGCCACTCAGAGTCCGTGAGGCCTCTTCTGGGTGTCCATCATCCAGAGTGTCCTTTAAGTGGGCAATGTTATCTGCACTGCCAAATTTGTTGCGTATTAAACTTGCAAACTCACGGGGCTTGGAAACCACAGCTGTGTGTGTTGCTTGAGAAAGGCCTGATAACCCACCCTTGACCCCCTCTACCACACCGCCACCAAAACCACTAATACTGGATCGAACATTGGCTCCTACATCCTTGAGGCCCTGATGCATGTCCCGGAAGACATCTTTGGGCTGACGTGTTGGCCCATTTTGTTCAATCTCCTTTAATTTTTTGTGGTAATGCTCAAGCTTCTTATGCAGCTGGGCAATGGTCTGGGCTGACTTCTGGTTCTTCTTCTCAAAGACCTGCTTGATACGAGAGGCTTGCTGCTTATCAGCGTTATTAGCAAGCTTCAGATATTCAGCTACATTGTCATCTCGAGCCTCCTGCTCAATCTTTATTTGCTCAGTGATCTTAAGAATCTTCTGGTGCAGATGGTCAATGGCAGCTTTTGTCCTCTGTGGGTCAGGGTTGCCATCTGGAACATCAAGACAGATATTGCTTTCTGCATCACTGTGGCTTGTATTGGAAGGCAGGCTGAGTTGGCTCACATCCCCCTTGTCCAACTGTTGTAGGAGGCAGGAAGAGAGGAAAGAACACAGAAAAGCATGAGTAAAGTTTTGAGGAATATTTTTTCTTTCTTTGGAACAAACATTAAAGTGATTTGATAGAATAGTGAAAGAAATAGTAAGGAGCCACAGAAAATAATTGCAATACTTTCCCCCAATAGTGCCCTCCAAATGTATTAAAACTGCAACATCCAGAATTTCTTTGTTGCCTGGAAATGCGGAGAATGATAAACTTAAACACTTCTTGAGGGAACCAGCTGGGAGAAAGTTGAACTAGTTAAAAAAGGAACAATATCTGTTAAAGTATATATGATCAAATAATCTAATCTTAAAAATGGCTTTTTAATCACCCAATTCATAAATGTATATAAAAGTTCTTGCTATCAAAAGTTCTTGCTAAAGTTCTTGATCTATTTTGAATTCTTAAAATTGAGATAACTACAAGTCCCATCAAATAAGAACAATTTTAAATGCTAGATTTCATTTGTTTTTTTCTTTTAATCTTGGAAGTAGGAAACATAGAATATTTCCTATTAGGGTAATACAACAGAGTCAATTAGCATAGCAAATCCAAGCAAGTAACTTTGTGGAAGATTCAGGTTTAAAAGACATGCTATGATTTTAGTTTCAGATTATCAGCTTCCATTCCCTTCAGTTTTTACTGCTAGAGAAAAAGCTATAGCAAATTTCCCACAAAAGGCAAATGTGCCCATTGCCTCTGATTCCAAAACCTGAATGCCCTAATGATTCTCATTGGGATCAACAATTTCACTGGAAATATTAATGACGTTCGCCCCAAGATCTTGACCTATTTTTTTTTTTAGATTAGAACTCAGGGCTCTGGACTTGTGGCCTTCTAAAATTGAAATCGTTTGTACTGCTCACAGGTAAGGAACATCATAAATCTGGAAATAAGGTCAAAAATTGTACCAAATTATGTACAGACAAACTAGGTATGTTAGAGATGCCCAAAGCATGGACTCAGGCTGTTATCCGAGAGCAATTTGATCCTGTTGGAACTGAGGAAGTGGACAGGGTCATTGGGGTTGTTAGCACAACTACTTGCTTATTAGTGTTATCCCTGTTCCTCCTGGTTAGTAAACACTTCCAGGATGGTGACTTCTGGGTGAGTTTGACATCCTTCAAGGAAGTTGTGGACTGACCCTTCCTTAAGAATCCATCAATAAAACCTTTTAAAAATCATGAAAGTATAAGTTGTGGGGAGCATATAAAGACCTGCATTAGCCACTCTTGGTGACACAAATACTTCTAATTCATTATTAGTAGAACTGGACTTTTGTGCACAGACTAGCTTTTGATCCTCACTTTACAAAGTTTTTTGAACCTGAGGTTGAAGGAATCTGTAACTGATGAATACTACTTGCACTTGATTAGAAAATTGGCCCAATGGAAATGTAACTTCAATGACTACTTAATTTCTATGTCATAAATTATATAATAAATTTCATACATCCATATGCGCATATGACAGACCTGTAACTGTTATAAATAACTATATAATCTGTTCCCCATTGGTCATTGTTTCACAAGTATTTCCTTATCTAAGCAGAGAAACAGAATGACCAAGGGCAAAAAAAGTAGGAGGCACAGCAGTGATTTCCTGCCAGTTTCCTCATTGAATTTCCTTGTGAAATTCATCATAGCATCAGAAAGCTCTCCTTCCCTACCCTTGGGTGGGGCAAGGATCAAGGGATTGCAAGACTGCCTGGGAAACTGTCACCAAATGTTGAAAATGAAGATCACGTGATCGCAGTAGCAGCCTAGCAGTGCAGCAGCAGCCAGTAACACTGAAACAACCACAATTTCCCCAAATTTCATTCCCTCAAGAGTCATGGGTCCCAGATTTTGGATGCATTCCATAAGTTACCTCATTTGAGGTACCTTGGTTCAAAAATTGTTGTCCTAGGATGCACCATTTCACCCAGTTAAAGTCATGACAACAAGAGTTTTAATAGTATATAGATTGTCAGCATAAGAAACGAAAGCGCATTATCACTTCACCTTCTACAAACACGGCAACTGAGATGTTTGTTAAAATCAAATCAAAACAAGCCTCAACAGTAAGGGGCTGAAGGACACTTCCTTAACCATGCAATTATACATCTATCTGTTTAAACAAGCATACAGGTGCTGTCAGATCTCAGGGCACAAATTATGACAGATAAAAAAAAGCATCACCCAAGAGCAAAATATTATTTGTATTTCAATATGTCTAGAACAGAAGTATCAAACCTCTCCAAAAAAAAGGTGGCTTTTTTGGTGGGAGATAACCCCTCCGCTCCAGTTTTGAACATCAGTTCCAGTATCCACTAAGCATGTGCTGCTGTTTTTATATACTGAAGCACTTTATCTTAAGATCCTGGTCTAAGTTCACATTACACAAACCACTGCAGTTTGGAATTTTTTTTGCTCCTTCGATATTGGTGCTCAGAAAGCAATTAGTTGGCTTAGTTCAGGGGTAGTCAACCTTGGCTCTTTTATGACTCGTGGACTTCAACTCCCAGAATTCCTGAGCCAGCTAAGCTGGCTCAGGAATTCTGGGAATTGAAGTCCACGAGTCATAAAAAAGCCAAGGTTGACTACCCCTGGCTTAGTTGGTCTAAGATACAGCCCCAAGGGCCTATCGGTGACTCTAGCCAGCTACCCAGCCCCACTGTCTTTCCTAGCTTCTACCGTAACCTTCAAATTACTGTTTCAATTAATAAAAATAATATTTATACATAGACTTCCTGTATATATTCTTTGTCTGCTACTGCATAGTCACCACTACTTTATAGTTATAACAGGTTTTTTTCCCTTTCAATATTCACACAGGGTAAACTTGAACTTACGCTGTATCTTTAGCACTTGTTAAGTGGCGAGGTTCCATTTAATAACAAAAATACTAGATTTTGGATAATAAGAACACCAAATTTTGTTGATAGTCCAGAAATGCCTATTTATGACAACTCTTCTCTAGGAACAACTGGATGGAATATGCAAGCCATACAACCTTTACGCCATACCTTACAGAGCTTATCTGGTTCCAGCACTCTCTTCCTTCTCATAGCAAAGCCTCACTTGATGAGCAAGAGAAAATCCCTGATAATGAAAAACTACCAGGAAACAACAGCTCCAAAAGCTACTATATACTTGTCCAGGTTTTTCTCCTCTGCGCCTCACACATCTACTGATAGGTTTTGCTGGGTTATAGAGGTATGCAGGGGGAAAAACACCACCCACATACAGTACATCAGCATACAGAACAACCACAAACTTGCCTCAATCTTATATCAGCACTTTAAAAAAACAAAAACAAAAAATTGCAGACTTTACAAACTTTGCTGCTGGCCTATTCTTAGCTTCCCTGTGTTGCTCTGAGGTTTTCCAGGACGAAGGACAGAGTGAAAAGTTTCTCCTGTGCTCTTATCAATTTACAGGCATTGAACTTGCAGGAAATGAGCCTTTTGAAACTGATTGTTTTGGTTTGGTAAAGATAAAAGTCACAAAGTTAAAAACAGCTCTGGTGAAATTCCAAATGTGAATGAATTCAATTCATTACAGAGACTACCCAAGTTGGTTTTAATAACTGTGTAAATAGAGTTTACAGAATATGCAGAGACAGGAGCGTTTGGTTCTTCTTTTTTAACAAGATAGCCTGCAGACCACATGGGAACTGTGAAAGAAATAAGATCCAATCTACTGCTTTCTGATAAATTCAGAGAAGTAATCCTTAATGACAGCATGGGATGAAGATACAAATGAATTGGTTAAACAATTTTGAAAGGGTTCAGCTGTCAAGATTTGAACAACCATCCAGAGATTTATAAACCAACTTAGCCTTGTCCCAGAATTAAAATAATCATCAAAATAGGAAATCCATCATTAGAATGTTTTATTTCCCCTGTCAATTATCACTTTATAACATTCATAGGTATGTAGGGCTCCAATTTTAATCAGAGGCTGAATCTAAAAAAGATGAATTAATCTGTCTCACTGGTCATTTTATTATCTGGCTCACCCTAAAGCTGATATCAGCCTTGAAGATCTGATGATGATACTTATCTTCTTCCTGCTGCGAGGCTTCGTAGGGTTTCATACATACGAAGGGGAGAAAGAGTCTGCATATAGAAGCAATGATTTATCATTCTCTTTCCTAATGTTACTATTTTAAACAATATCAGAATTTGCTTTAACTTTTGTATGTGAAGAAAAGCATACAACTGTGGAGTTGGAGGGGACCACAAGTATCTTCTAGTCCAACCCTCTACAATGTAGGGGAAAACCATTTACATAACTCAAGAACGCTGAAGGACAAGTTAACCATACATTCCCCATGCTACACCTGATTCTGCCCTGAAAGAGAGATAAAGGCACTAGTTAGTCTCCAACAACCTTGCACAAAGGAAATTTCACACATCAATTTTAGGCAGCTACACAGCCAATTCTTTTGATTTCCTCAATAGAAGTATGATTTAAGAGAGAGGAAGAAGAGATGGGAGGAGAAAACAATTTCTTCACAAGTCTTTAAAGCAATTATGTCAGGTTCCCAGACAGAACATACAATATTTATGACAACAGAAGGAAGGTTAGCTATATAATAGGTGAAATTCTTGATTTTTAAATGAGCCTGTACTTCCTTGGTATATTCCTGTAATGTACAAAACTCACTTCTAAATCCAGGAGATTTAGATGAGATCTACCAAAACCCACTTCAGACATAATTATAAATCTGGAATTTAGAAATTCAAAGATGCATACCCCATTCCATATTTGATTTTAATCCAGTCTGAGTATTAGTTCACCATATCTAAGTTACAAATGTACAATTTTAAGCAGGTACCCATGTATGGATGATGTTAGTTTTATTCAGCTGCAATGGAGTTACCTTTGAAGACTGGAAAATACACAACACACTAGATAGATGATTATTAAGTGGGACTGGGCACAAGGTTTTATACCAGGCTAAGAATAACTCCACTGGCTACTGATTATCA